TTTAACCTCTGAGCTTCAGTTCCTTTATCTGTAAAAGAGGTCTGCTTTGCCAACCTCACATTATCTTCCTACGTGTGTGTGTGCAAGTTCCTTAACAATGTTATTCAAATATAAAAAATATTATAATAAACTAGTCTTTAGAATCTAAAATAATCCTGTTTTCACAGTATTATCCACTCCCCTGTGAAGCAATACAACTGAGACTGTCATTAAAAATGACCTTGAATTCTGAGGATCAGGGATTTTTTTTTAAACTCAAAACTCAATTTTTTCCATTCTTTGTTTCCACCTAGAGCCAAATTCACCTCCAAAATAACACCAATCTTGAACACCAATCCTGCTGACATCTAGCATTCATTCACATGGAATGCAATTCTTGTGGTCCTTAAAATTTGGAGAGAATGTCTGTTCAACTCCCCAGAACTTCAGGCAAAAGAATCAGGGAATGGCAGTGACTGGTTCAGTCTGCCAAAAGTGGTTATTTTGAAATACATTCCTACACTCCAACTTCTAAGAAACACAGTTCCACAGTTTTGAGAGCCCAGCAGGAAACGAGATCTTCCTCCCCTTTTCTCAAATTACACAATTGGAAATTAGTTTAGATACTCGGAGCTCATCCAGCTGATCGTCTGATGGAGGGAAAACAGGAAATGAGAGATTCTAGCTTAACTGGACCATATCCAGGTCTACATAAAGAACTGCCTATTTCTGTCTGGCTGTTATGTGAAAATTCTTTTAGCAAGAGCATTAATTTTGAACTTGTGGAAATATCAAAGTTATAGTCAGCCCAATCTGCCCCTATAGGTTTAAAGTCAATACAGCCAGGCAGCTGGGCCTAGGCCTCCAGATTTCATAACCGGCATTACTGTCTGTTCATGTCAATGACTCAACTTTGCTTGACACAAGTCATCGTTTCCTCTAGGTCAGTTTTTTCAACCCTCAAAATCTCTTTAATAAAGCAGACGTACAACTAGAATCTGAGCTGATTACTGGCTCCATCAGAGGCCTGTAACGGTTATTCTGGCTTTAAAATAAAATGTGCGACCTGAAAGCTGAGAGTTCGACAAAAAGGAAAAACGGTGCCTTTCCAATACATAAGGCCCCTAACCTATAAGTCTTTTACCAGGTTCTCAAAAAGAAGAGGAGGATGCGGTCAGGAGGATCTGTGAGTACTGTCTTTTTTTTTTTTTTTTCCTTAACATTTATCCTAGTCTTACACTTACTGTTTCCTAGCACTCCATGCCCCCAAAACAGTGTCACCATCCTCTAAAGACTTCCTCTCATTTTCTTTGCCTCGCCCTTTGTGCTGGGAAGTTTCGGCCTTTCATCGGCAGATGAGAGTCTAGAGCTATGGACCATTCGTCTCTCCCGCGCCATCCGCCCTCTCGGTCCCTTCGAACGCGAACGGCTCTCTCATCAGGTCTGTGAAAAGCTCGGCTGCACCCACAAACGAAGTCAGTCGCCCCTCTCCTTTCCAGTATTCCTCCCTTGGAGCACCCGAAGGCTTCTAAGTGCGGCGGGACCCAACCCCAACAGCTGCTACCTTACCAGCTTCCCGCCCCCGGGGGGCGCCTGCCCGAGACAAGTGCAAAGACCGTTTGCTGCCAGCTCTGCTGCTACCCTTGCGGGGTGAATCTAACATGGCGGATAGAAACAGAGCCTAGTCCTCTGTTTCTCTGGGTTTCTGACAAGATGATTGGATCCTACCATTTGTCCTTCAAAACTATCACCCCGTTCATTGGCCGAGGATGCTTCTGCAGGGCAGGGCAGAAACAGCCTAAACCGCACAACAATAACAAACACTGGAGTGGGGCGGAACTACCAGTGCGCAGATGTGGGCCAGGGCGGATTTCCACTTCCTGGGCAAATTGGGCACCCACAGCATTCCCTGAAGTTACTAACCTTAAAGGACTACTAGCTAAGACTTGCGCGGTTGGATGGGAATTGTAGTCTTCCTAAGATTTGTGGGTACTGTAGCTTACTCTCCGCTGACAAGATGCGAAAACATAACACTCCAAACCATAGATGTCGAGGTCCATAAACGCGCAGAGTTCTCCAATGTAGCAACGCGTTTTGGTGAGAATCGTGCCTGCTTCCGATATCGAAAGCGCTTCTCCATAATACTACAGTTTCCAAGGAACACTGTGGCTAAGCCTTTTCATTCCGCAAGGCATGTCGGAAATTGTAGTTTTACCCTCACAACTCCTTTATTTACCTAAACAGGAGATTTCCATTGCCGCGAACAGACTATTTTGGGCACTATCTTGCGCCCATATTCAGGCCTCAGGTAGCTACTGAGACTCTAGTACAGAAATCACTGTGATGTAATAACCTTCACCCAGAGGCGTGGAGGCGAGGGGGCGGACACTTAATAGCAACACAGGTAGAATTCTCTCTTTTCCGGCTCTTTCTAATTACATCACGCAGGTAAAAATGAGTGACCAATCAGAGCCCCCAAAGGCTCAGCACTTTCTGCCCCGCCCTTCCGCTTACGTACCTAGCTCTTGCATTCTGAGAGGCTCGCGCTGAGCGGCGGCTGCGCGTTTCCGTGGCAACAGGAAAGCGCGGGAATTACAGATAAATTGAAACTGCGACAGCTTGGCTGGAGTTCCCGGATGGTTTCTGAGCCGCCCAGGGCCCTAAGGGGCTTCTCTGATAACTAGGCCCCTGGGCCTAGGAAGCCTGGAAGCTTTGCTCCGGATAAGGGTGAGAGAGCCATGGGGCAGGAATAGGGGCCTAGAGGGGTTTTCGGGGGACAAGCGAAAAACAGGTTGTGGGAGACTGAGGGGGAGGAGCCCCCAAAAGAAAAGGCCTGAAGGAGAGCAAAATGGGTGTTTACCTGGTAGGGGGGTGGAACCTGAGGAGACTTAGACGTTGTGAGTTTGGGGAAATTCTGGGAAGTGGGCAGGTCCGGGTCAGGAAGAAAACGGCGGAGGAGGAAGATGGCGTCATGATAGGAACTGGAATGTGCCTTGGGAGAACATTATGATAAGAAGATGGCCTGGTAGGGTACCCTGTATTAGTAGGGCAGGAATGTGACTGGGCGAGGTACTCTGAGGAAGAGGAGGAGACAGGATGTTGTGGGAGAGAGACCCTAAGAACTGGATTCATAGAGTCTCCACTAGCCTGAGACCAGAAGAACTAGATGGTGCCTGACTACCACTACCAACTGCTCTGATTGGGATCACAATATTTAGTTCCCAAATTGATTTTCCTGGACAGAGTGGGAGAAAAATGTAGAACAAAATTCAAAATCATAAAATAAACCAGACTTACTGGTCTGGTAGAGAATGGTGGTACCCCAGAGACTGTGGTCCTTAGACACCCTTCAAAGCTGGAACTGAACCTTCTCTCAGAGATCACCTTTCAGCCAAACAATAGGCCTATAAAGTGAACAATAACACCCATGAGGAATGTGCTCCTTAGAACAATCAACCATACCAGACCAAAAAGGGCATCATTTGCCTAAGAACTAAGTTCAGAAGGGAGGAATGGATAGGAAAGGGGGATGAATGGAAAAAGGGAACCCAGGGAGGAAGTGGAAAGACTGCTGTTACATTGAGGGGACTGCAACTAATGTCACAAAGTAAGATATGTATACATTGTTAAATGGAAAACTAAGCCCTGTGAACTTTTACCCAAACCACAAGAGCCTGTTAGAAAAAAAAAAAAAAACTGGGTTCATAGACTTTTCTGAGTAAGGACAAAAGGTTGAAGAAAAGGAAATAGAGGGTTGTAGATGTAACAAGGTAGTTCTGGTACCATAGTGCTTAAGGCACTTGGCTGCTAACCAGAAGGCTGTGGGTTCAAACCCACCAGCCACTCCTCAGAAGGAAGGTTGGACAATCTGCTTCTGTAATACTGTGTTGGAAACCCAAGGAGTGGTTGCTATGAGTCGGATGACTCGATGGCAGTGAGTTTTTGGGTTTTGGTATTAGATGTAACAAATATTGGCAGGAATGTGCCTGAAGAGGAGGGAGGCCAGAGATGTACTTGAGGCGAAAGGTCCTGAAATGAGTTCAGGTGAATGGGCAATGCTGGGCTTAGGGTTGGAGAGTGTTGGTTGGTTTTAGTTTTATTCTTGGTTTTGCTTTTAAACATGAGAAAGAAAACAACCAGGATGATTGGAGAAAGGTGAGGCTATGCAACCTACCCAGTCAGCCCGGGAAGTCACTGTGGAGAAAGAAAGTCACTTTCTTGGAGAAAGACTCAAAAGGAGGAGGTCGGAGGTTATAAGTGAAGAAAAAAGAGAATTTAAACTAATTACAAAATAGGAGCACTGGTGGCATAGTGCCGAAGACATTTGGCTGCTAAGCAGAAGGCTGGTGGTTCAAACCCACCAGCCACTCCTTGGAAGGAGATGGGCAATCTACTTCCATAGAGATACTGCCTTGGAACGCAAGGAGGGGTTGCTACAAGCTGGATCTGACTCAGCGGCAGTGAGTTTGGTTTTGGTTTAATTACAGAAAACAACTTTTAGGATTTATTTTTAAAATAAAGACTTTTCTTTGTCATTAGCTACATGGTTGATATAATTCTAAAGCACTCTGAAGTTTCTTTTATTTAAAAATGACACTTAGAAACTTAAGCTGCTTTTTCTTTCTTAATTTTTATTGTGATTTGGGTGACAGTTTACAGAACAAATTCATTCTCCATACAGCAGTTCATACACATTTTGTTTCATGACATTGACTGCAATTCCCCACAGTGTAACAGCTCTCTTTCCACATCCTCCCTGTGTTCTTCCCTCTCATGCATTCCAGCCCCCTGAGCTGTCTCCCTGTGCAAACACTGCCCTTCTGTTCTCCCACAATTGATAGCTCCAAGGAGTCTATCTACCTGATGTAAATGTTCACCCCATATGCCTGTCATTGTTTGGCTGGAAGTCACAGGAGTAAGTTCAGTTCCAGACCTGTAAGCTTTTGTTTTTAATATACCTGTTAAAGTAATTTATTTTTATATGATATTTTATGTATTAAAGTTCAATGGAACAGAAAGAAATGGATTTACCTGTGGCTCACATTGAAGAAGTACAAAATGTCCTTAATGCTATGCAGAAAATCTTAGAGTGTCCAATCTGGTAAGTCAACAGGAGAGTTTATTGATTTATGATTCTTCCTTATGTGATTATATACTGTGCAAATGAGTAGAAGTGACCTGGTGATGAAGAGAAAAACAATACATATAAAAAAGCTATTAAGATCGAGCTATTAAAGTTGTTGTTTTTCTTAACTAAAGGGATTTTAAAATAGAGAAAATTGCTATTTTCTTTCCACTCTTACTCTCCACCCTCTTCTTACCCCCTCAATGCACACAGCCCTCTATCTTTTCCCATCTACAGATGTCTTGATTGGTTGTGCATTGGAGGAGAATCTGATTTGGATTGAGTGGCAGTTGGACTTTTCTTCTAACTCTAAAACTGGCTTGATACTTGGAAAGGACAGTTCATAATGGTAAAAAAAAATCATGAATAATTGGTTTCTGTGAGAGGATAGGTCTTTGGGAGAACCTTTGGCTGAAACTAGTTTTGTAAATAAAACCCAGCAAGTCATCAAAGCCTTTAGCTTTTCTGACCATTTGAGTGAGCCTTTGTTTTCCTTCATCTATAAAATGAAGAGGGATTTAGAATATTCTGTTGATTTTATTATTATTATTTTTTAATTGAGGTATAATTTGCATACAATGAAACACTCAGATCTTAAATGTGCAAGTCAATGAGTTTTGAAAAGTTCATCTACCTTTGTAACTGAAACATCAGTGAAGGTATAGAACATATGTCATTACCCAGAAAGTAGCTTTGTGCATATTAAGGAGTCCTTAACCTATGGACTTTCCAGGACGCTTGGAAACCTATTGTTGTTGGTGTCGTTATATGCCTTCGAGTCGGACCCGACTCATAACGACCCCTCCTTGGGTTTCCGAGGCAGTATTACTACGGAAGTAGATTGCCCCATCTTCCTTCCGAAGAGTGGCTGGTGGGCTTGAACCACCAGCCTTCTGATTAGCAGTCAAGTGCCTCTAGGCACTACGCTCCCTGGAAACCTATTGGTGAACTAACCGCATTTCAATATAATTAGTTACTTGTTTAATTTTAAAGCAAAGAGCCCTAGTGGCACAGTGGTTAAGTGCTTGGCTGCTAACCAGAAAGTTGGCAGTTTGAATCCATGAGCCACTCTGCAAGAGAAAGATTTGACAGTCTACTTCCCTAAAGATTAGTCTTAGAAGCCCTTTGAGGCAATTCTGCTCTTCTATAGGGTCACTATGAGTCAGAATTAACTCAATGGCAATAGGTACGTGTATGCATTTAAAAGCATTACTCTGAGAAGGGGGACCATGAGCTTCACTAACAGCCAAAGAGGGTTCATGGAACAAAAAAAGGTTGAGAACTCCAAGTAATCACTAGGTGAGCTCTACAGTTTCTCTTAAATCTACAAAATAAATGAAAAGTCATACCTCAGAATCTCTTGGTGAAAAGTCAGAGAGGAAAATTAGGATAATTATTGCCTGCCTGCTCCCTTCTTCCCTTACTCTCTTTATTCTGGTCATTCTGGCCTCTTTAACTGTTCTTGACATGTTATACCCTCTCCTGCCTCTGAACGTTTGCTGTTCCCTGTGCCCGGAATGCTCGTTCCCTGATAATTGCATGGCTTACAAATCTTGATTGAAATATCCACCTTTCAAAGAGGTATTTTCAGACTGCCTTATTTAAAATTGCAACACTCCCACTCCTGACACACTCCTTATCCCCCTTTACTGCTTAGTTTTTCTCCATAGAACTTTTACTATCTGATATTCAATGTAATTTATTTTTCTTCTTTCTCTATCCTTACCAAAATCCATTGCTGTCAAGTTGATTCTGACTTACCTCTACAGAACACATAAAATCCATGAGGACAGAAGTTTTTGTTTTATTCTGTCTTCAGTAGTTAGAACTGTATCTGGGACCTAGTAGGCACTTGATCAACATTCATTGACTGAATTAAAGAATTAAAAAAGCAGTTCTTTGATAGTGCAGGTTTTTTTTTTTTTAATATGGTGATGGTTAGTGTGGGTAACATTAAAAAAATAAATTGATACAACAACAAAAAAGGAATAGCTACTGAGACTGCTTATGTACAGCCAAACACCTCATGGGCTTCAATTCCTTAATTTGGAGGTTTGGGGTCATGGTTTCATGGGATATACCAGTTAATTTGGCCTAGTAACATGTTTAATACTTCTGTTCTACCTCCTAGTTCACTGTATAGTCCCTGGGGTTGTAAAAACTTAACAAGTAGCCATCCAAAATACAACACTGGTCTCTGTTCACCTGGAACAACAGAAGAAGAGTTACGGAAAGGAAGAGGATATGGAATGTGTGGCTAATTGCCTCCTTTGAGATCAGAAGAACTGTATGGTGCCCAGCTGCTATTATTGAAAATTTTGATCAAAGATTCCAGATCAAAGAATCCTGATCAAAAGGGAGAAAATGCAGAAAAGAATCTCAAATTCTCATGGGCTCTAGACTTCCTGGAACCATAAAGATTGGATGAACCCCTGCCCTGAGATAACCTTTAAACCATAAACCAAAAATACCCTCTGAAGTCATCTTAAAACTAAACAATATTTAGCTCAGCTAGTAAAAAAGTTCTGCCTTGAGCATGATGCTCTTTAAGAACTATCTATCTATATCAAGGGAACTCTGGTGGCATACTGCCTAAGGCATATGACTGCTAACCAGAAGGTTGGTGGTTCAAATCCACCAGCTGCTCCTTGGAAGCATGGTTGGGCAACCTACCTCTGTAGTGATACTGCCTTGGAAACCCAAGGAGGGGCCACTATGAGTTGGATACGACTTGATGGCAGTGGTTTTTTTTTTTTTTTAATGCATTTTATTGAAATATAATTTATGTACAGTGAAATACACTAAACTAAAGTGACATGGGTCAATGTTTTTTTTTTTTTTTTTTTTTTTTTTTTTTTTTGTGGTGGTCCCTCCCCTCCCCTCTCACCCCTGGCAACCAACAAAGAGTTTCCCTCCATATATAAACCTTTCCTTGACCCTCCACAACAATGAACTAATACTATATTTGCCCTTCTTTGATTGACTTATTTCACTCAGCATAATGTCCTCCAAGTTCATCCATATTATGCGGTGTATTGCAGACTCTACATTATTCTTTAGTGCTGCATAGTTTTCCATTATGTGTAGGTACCATTGTTTGGTAATCCACTCTTCCGCTATAAATCAGAGATAAGTCCCTTGCCAGATATGTAATTATCAGCAAATATGAATTTGTTGCTATCATTTTCATTATGTGCTTTCTCATGGTGTCAGTTTCTTTGTGCCATATAATTTTCTATGCTGAACTTGTTTTGTTTATGAATTCTGTTATCAATTCATCCTTCATTGTTATTGTTTTAGTATTTGCTGAATATTTATACTGGTCCTCTTTTTTGATGTGAAGGTTTATAATTTTCCTTTGAGTTTCCCTGTGATTTATAGTTTTCTTCCCAAGTTTAGAACAATTCGTTATATCTTCTGGTTATCTTGACTTCTCTACCATCTAGAAGTTCTGTAACTACACAGTTTTTTCCTTCTTTTTGGTTTGTAGTTGTCCTCGTTTGTCAACTGATGTCTCTGTCTCTGGTTCCCTGTTTACAGTCTTGTAGGCTTATTTACTTTGGATACTTCATAGCTAGGTTGGTTTCGGGGTTATATCATTATGTGTATTAATGGTCAGTTCTTGTTGACTGTTGCTTCTCTGTCCAAAGGACTCCCTTTAGCATCTCCTGTAAGCTTGGTCTGGTTTTAACAAATTCCCTTCATTTCTGCTTATCTGAAAATGTCCTAATTTCACCATCATATTTGAGGGATAGTTTTGCTGGGTACATAATTCTCAGTTGGAAATTTTTCTCCTTCAGTGTTTTATGTATACCATCCCATTGTCTTCTTGCCTGATGGTTTCTGTCGAGAAATCTGAGCTTAGTCTTATTGGTTGCCTCTTGTAGGTAACTTTCTGTTTTTCCCATGCTGCTCTCATAATTCTTGGTCTTTGGTTTTGGTGAGTTTGATGATGATATGTCTAGGTGATTTGCTTCTGGGGTCTGTCCTGTTTGGGGTTCGCTGGACTAACTAAATGGATATATCCTCATCTTTCATCATACCAGGAAAATTCTCTTCGAACAAATCTTTGACAATTTTCTCTGTGGTTTTATTTGTGTCTTCCTATTCTGGAATTCCAATTACACGTAGGTTATTCCTTTTAATAGTATCCCACATGAACCTTATACTTTCTTCATTTTGTTTTGATCTTTTTTCTGATTTATCCCTTTCCAAAGAAGTGTTCAGGTATTTGCCTTCAATCTCCCTAATTCTGTCTCCCATTGATTCAATTCTGCTCCTTTGGGCATTCAATGGCTTATCTATTTCTGAAAATTCGGTATTAATCTTCTGGATTTCTGTGTGTAGATTTTGTATTATTTCTAATTTTTCATTTATTTTGTCATTTTGTTCTTGTATTATCTTTTGACATTGTTCTAGGGTTTTCTCTGTGTTTTCCTTGATCTGTCTCTCGATTCATTGAAGATACCTAAATATAATTCTTTTTAATTCCTTATCAGAGTATTCCAATGCTGCATCTTCCTCAGGGATGTGTTTTGGGTCTGTATCCTGGTCCCTTGTTTCAACTGCTTTATCATGCTTCTCTGTGTGAACTGTGATGCTCTGTTGTCTCTGAGGCACTGTGACGTTTTTGTGTTTATATTTAATTGGTGATTGTATGTTGGAATGACTTGCCCATGATTTTCATTTTCTTTGTTTTGTTTGTATGTTATCTATGCAAGCAGTGCACTGTGCTGTGCTTCTCTATTTGCTAGTGGGCAGCACTTTTACACTCACCACCTGTCTCCTTTCCTTTGTCAGCCTCTTGTGTGTCCCTGCTGACCTTGGCAAACAGAGCCTATTCTTAGGTCCCTGGAATCTGAATGAGGATGCTATCACTTTAAAATCCAAAATGGTTGCCACTTGTAAAGATTCAAAATGGCTGCACCCTCGGTCACTTTAAATATTCAAAATGGCTGTGCCCTCCAGACAGCAGA